TAGGAAATCTGAACACAGAACAAGAGGTTCTGAACTCCCCTTTAGGAACCAGTACCTTTCACTTCAGCACTCAGGATTGAAGTGCTGGGTAACTAAATCCCATATTGGACCTGATCTTCAGGCTGTCACCTCAAAAGTCTATTTCAGAGATACACTTTCTCCGTTCTATTTCCCTTCCCAGTGTATTTGGCACTGATATTTTTTTTTTATTCCTTCTTACAAGTGCTCCATTATTCTTTTGGCTCTTCCAAATAGCTTTAAAATTAAAAGTTTCAAAAATCAAGTCAGTCTTTAACTTGGGTACATTTTTTGTTTTGACCTGCTACAGAATGCAGCCATTTTCCCATTACAGAAGCTTGACTACGCCTATTTTCAGATAACAAGCTAGATTGGAGTTGTTTTTCTAATCAAAAACATTTGTGATACAGTTTTATGCATTTCCCCAAAAGTCTGCCTGGATTGGAATAAACATACACCTTCCAGATGAAGTTTTGGATTATATTTGAAGAAAAACTGACTTTGGAAAATGTTTGAGGAAAATCACAGGAATCTTCCCCTCTTCTTTTTTTTTTTTTTAAACCAGAACATTTTCAATACGATTGGCTTTTTGGGAGGTCAGTTTCTGACTTAAACTTCTACAGTTTTGCAGTGATTTCCTTAAACCTGACTGGTTCAGCCTTCTAACAGGGAGCAGTAGGAAGGAGTGCAGTTCTTCATGACCAGAGATGTCTCACTGGTGTGAAGGACATTGGTAAGTGGGCTGTGGTGATGACACATGAGTTGCAGGACAGCAGTGAGGGCCAGAAGGGATGGACTGATTTTCAAATATAGTGTCTTATTTAAGAAATGAGGTTATATTTCTGGCAAATCAAGGACTGGGTGAAATTTGTAAAAAACTATTTATAATTTGGTTTGTGAATCAGTAGTATTGGATTGTATGCTTAGAGGTCAGCCTCTTTCAGATCTCTAAATACTTTGACAGTCCTGTTTTTAACAGAGGAAAAACAGTGTGGGCTAGTGCTGTGAGTTATCAAGTTTGTTGGTTTCACCTGCTTCCCGGTGGACAGCTGTGTGTGTCTGCCAGTTTTGTAGACAAGAAGGCTTCTAGGTGGGATTAGTAAATGGGAACGGACAACAGACCAAATGTTTCAATTTACAGGGACGTTTAATGGGGAATTTCAAGACAATTCCCAAACACGGGGACATAGTTTTCTCAGGGAGCTTTGGGAAAGAGCATTCAGTGCCCTTCAGAATCATCATGCCCTGATACAGCGACCTGAATGTGTGCTGCCAGCCTAGAGCAGGGTTACTCTTTGCTGGCCCAGTGCTGTGAGGTGTCTCATCACACTCTTGCTTGAATTGTTTTAATGGTGGTGACAGATGTTTCATCAAATTGTAGAAACTGACCTTGGGCTGGTGTTTCAGGGAGCATTTTCGAGGTGGTAAGAAGAGCTACAAGCACAGGAAGAATTAGCTATAGAAGAGTTTTCTGTAGTGCCAGAGCAGTCTCTCTTTTGGCCAGGCTGCAGCATCTCATCTGATCTCTGGGCTTGCCAAGACAGAGAGGAAAGAATTTTACTTCAATAGTTCAGAAATTACACAGGTGCCAGTATGTCCTTTCCAGTCCCTGTTCTGGAAGCAACTCCTCCATCTCCAGTTACATATGAGCACTGTAACATGCTTTATTACTTTTTCAAGCTGCAGCTTATTTCCCAGGTTCATTTGTATAATTTTCCTGGATTGAACCTGGTTCCAAACATAATAGTATACTGGCTTTAGCCCCATTCAGCATTCAGCTTGAGAAGAAATTATAGGCATGGGCAGTGAAAGAGGAGAGGATGGGGCCTTGTTTTGGTTACAAGATCTAGGCAAACAACTAGGTAGTTTTTTGAACATTTGTACAATAAAAAGTATGATAGGGAAAGGTAACTCACAACAGATGTAGTTCCAGCGGTCTGAAATCCTGTCAGAGGAAAGAATGGAAAGAAGGAGAGATATGTTTCCAGGTGCATTTCAAAGCCTCCATTATCACACATGGATGGTGAAATTTTAATTGGAGATTTGAAGATGCCTGGGGTCAGGAATAAATGGCACTAAGAATATTTTTATTTTCCACTATATACAGGGGTGCAAGAGAAGCATTATTTACAGCTGTACCAGGTAGACAGAGTTTTATGTTATTTCATCTCAAAACAAAAGCCAAATCATGACCTGAAGAAACACAGCCACTCTGGAGGAGGAGACAGTAGCTATTTCACTGTACAATAGATTAACACCACAAAACAGGACAGAGACCAAAAACCTCTCCTTATTCTGCATAAACACAAACAGTTTAAGAACCGAATATAGATAACTAGCTTTGCATTTTAGAGATATAATAAATTTGGTACTTCCAGATTTGTGGTAAATGTCCTGGGAACATTAAAAAGGTCAGATATCCAATTGGCTAATTTTATTTCTCATGTTAAGGGGTCCACATCCAACAGCACAGGCACAACTTCAAGATTTTCACTGGAAGTGATGAATTTTAACAAGCCTTGCTGGATTCCAAGTTTGCCTTAGTTTTTTATCAAAGGGCTGACCAGAGTTTATGCTACTTATCCTGTAAACCATAATAATAACAAATGGGGAAGATAGTGAGGATTTATATAGCTTTATATTTAATATGGGGAGTTTCTAGAAGGAGTCTGTAAGTAGGGACTGTTGCCCAGGCTCCACACTTTGGCCAAGCAGGTCTTGGCAGGCTTCAGAGAGGATGGTGAAAATGCAGCTTTAAGCCATCCTTGCATCATCCTGGGGCTAGTCTCCCTGACAGTGTGTTCCCTTGTGTAAACTGTAACACCATCAGAGCTACTGAATTTTGCACTGGCTACCACTGGACCCAAGAAACTAGTCTGGTAACTAGAGATCCATGAAAACTAGGCTCTGCTCAGCCATTTTTAAACTGTATGTCTTTCACAAGGACTCAGGAAAGGAAGAGCCATTGCAGTCCTTGCAGTGGCTGCAGACCAGCTGAGGCTTTGTCGTATCTGGCTGATGCGCAAGTAGCTGGCTGAGCTGCTTTGCAGACTCCATTGCGCTGATAATGTGGCAAAAAACGGATTTCAATGTCTGGAGGATCTGGCCCGTATGTCTCTGTGTGCGTGTGCAGATGTGTGTGATGTCAGTGAATGTCCCCCGCTCCCTCCAAAGGTCACTCTGACTGAAATTTTTCATTTGCTTCAGAATAAGCAACCTCGAGAATGTAATGAAGGAAATGAGGTCTGAAATTTGTTTCCTAACATCCATGAATTGCAGCACTGAGCTAAGGGGAAAGCATTCAAATCCCTCTCTGCCCTCTTGGATAGGAATCTGTTTGTAGCTCCATAACAATCAGCAGACATCAGTGTCTGCTACAACTGAGTATTTTTGGTATCTAATTGGCACTTAGATACCAATGTGAGAGAAGCTTTAGAAATAGATAAAGCACATAAGTATTGCTTCTTTTCCTGTGTGTATGTCTGTATCGTCTGTGTGAAGCTGTGTATTAATGTGAAAAATTCCCTGTTGATTTTAATGGGATGCATCTCTCTGCAGAGAATTTTATTCATTCAGAGCTGCAGTAATGTATAGAAGGGATAATTTTTTTCCTTGTGCCCTGAACATCTAGAACAAATTCCTGAAATATTATTTGTGCAGAAACTGTGAATGCTCCCAGCTTGCAAATGAAGTTAAACCCTTGTTAATGTTTACAGTAAAACAGCTGTTCTCAGCATCTTTCCCTGAGCCTCAGCTACTTTAGCTCTACCATACTCAGCCTTACATCATAACAGCTGCAATAATAAGAGGCTGAAAGAGGTCAGAAACAGCCAGTCCTGCTAAACCACACCTTTGTTTAAAAGAGATTCTGGATTGTAAAATATCTCAATTGCTAAATATTTTGGCCTGACTGGACTCCAAGCATGGGCTAGGTCTTCAAAGACCTAGCTCACCAAAGCACATAGGCACTGCAAACACAGAGTAAAGCAGAACACAGGGTCTTTATACATTTTCCCAGGAAAGTTTCTATTGATCCAGACTGGGAAATGCTCCAAGGCTTCATAGAACTAAAGATAACTAATAAAAAAATGGACTAGGGCACACTGACTTTTAAAAAGAAATAGCTGAGCTATTACAGTTGCATGACAAAGCCTTGATAATTTGTGCAGCAAGACTTCACTAATTTTCACAAATAAAAGTAAGATCATTACAGATTACTGAATTTTAAGAATTAGCAGGTATGTAAACAAACAACATTCTAAGAAAAGAAAAAATCATCAGCATGCAGGCTTCTTTAAAGACTATAATTTCTTTGTAAATATTTATGATTGCTCAAACAATAAATGCTACTGGATATGTTTTGTAAAAATAATTAGGTGTTAGCAGAATGTAGAATAGACCATTGCCTTGCTCAGTCTTCTTTTCAGAAGAGAGAGGCCATAATTTTTCGGCTAAGTATAATATGGTCTGTTGAGCTTCTGCAGTGTCTACATTGTAGAAATACACAAATAAATAGGAGTTTAAAGTAAATTTAAGAATATTTGAATGTTAGATGTCCTACACAGGATTTACTGAAATCTTTTCTTCTGCTGAGTAGCAGTGGGAGATATGTGGGTTTTAGCACATAAGAGAAAATGCATTCATTGCTGCTTTATTACCCTACATAGGAATTGGATAAAATACGTCATTTTTATTTTACTGAAAATGCAAATTTGAAAATCACAGTCAGAAGAAAATAAGATTTGTACAATTGAAAAAAGATCCAAATAAATTTATAGGTACAAGGGGTTATTTTAGTAGCATTTTCACAGTTAAAATCAAGTGTGAACATTGCAGTCACATGTTAAATACTACCTGTGACACCAACAGCAACCTTTGCTAGTCTTGCGATTCACAGGGCAATGTCACAGACTGTCAGATGATGTCACCGATGTCCTAGATTATGGACTGTCACAGCTGGAATGCTTACTGAGCTTAGCAGATTCCACAGCACGTTGCCATCAAAAGGACTTAGTAAGGAATCTCAAATGTGCTTTCCAGTATGAGAAAGAGAAAGAAGAAGTAAGCAAAAGAGGCCACACAGAAGAATTTGTAGATTTCATTGATACAGGTACTTTTAGTTGATATAGATACTTTTAATCCAGGGGGATTAGAGATTTCATTGATACATTGGAAAGACAGTGTATAGTGGAAATTACTGGGTCTAAATTGTAATAAATTGGACTGTAGTTTCAGTTACGACTCATAATGGTGGTGAATTACTTGCCTTGAAACAATTGTTTGAGACCCTAATGATTTCAGAGTGTAGTTGTATGAGGCATTGACCTGCGCAGTAAAATACATACCTGTTCTTGAAGAGCAAAGAGGCTAAATGTACAAGGACTAGGCAAAGGTAATGAGATGCAATACTCAAGCAAATTATTTAAATGAACTATAGGTACATATGGTAGCTCCATGCTTTTATCACAAAATCATGTAGTGCCTAGGGAAGAACCACTGCCCTCAAAAAAGCAAGTGTATGTACCTTCATACATATATATAATGTATACATCTATAATATGTATGTATATATTTTTGTATACATAATCTAACACTGAGTGCTTTTAAAATATGCACATATCAATTACATAAACCTTTTGTAACTACACACTGGAGCTAAATATTACTTAGCTGTGTGCATTTTTCTTTGAGTTTCACTGGTTCATTGAAAGCATGATCAGTTTGTTTCTTCTGGCACAAGTTGTCACCTGAACCCCTGAATAAAAATAATGTTTCTATTCTGTCACATAAAGAGAATATATTCTAACTCTCTTGCTCTAGGTACAAATGTGTCTGCCACATTTGAAAAGGCAACAGTTAAATACATGTTTCTGCTGTCAGAAATGCAGCAGTTAAACCCTAAATAATATCTATAGGATTAAGATCCAAGTACTTTACAAGAAATCTATATGCACAATCTTTCCACATTTCCTCTCTATCCCCTGTCATAGACTATGGAAGATAATATAAAAAGAGCTCTAGTATGTATGCTTATCTCATTATCTCCATTTTCAGGTAAGTGGAGCAAACAGTTTCACCTTAGTAGATTTGTAGCAAAATAACACACATTCCTCTATGCTAAAGGAATGAAAAAAGCCCAGAACGGGGGCAGAGGGGGAGAGACAGGAGGGTCTTTTAAAAGAGTTTTCTGAATAATCAGGAAATCCAGTGAGACAAACAGAATGTGTAGAGAGCCAGCCAGAATTATCAAATTACCATGACAACCATAGGCAAGAACCCAGAGAGAATCAGGTAAAGAAATTACAGTAGAATTACAGTTAACTTCACTCTTTTCTTAATTTAAAAAAATAGTAATAATCCCAAGCAGTCAGGAAAAAATATTTCCTTGGCCTAGCTCATTATGGTGCAAAGGCTTGTGAAATGCAGCCTTGTTTGTAATTTTGAAATTACTTTGCAAATATATAGAGAGCTTTTATCTCGATTTGCATATGCAGATTGTTTTAACCAGCAGGATTGGATGTCAGATACAAAACTCAGTATCACAGATGCTTTAAGTTTTTCAAAAAGATAAACTAAAAAAGAATTCAGAAAAGGTAAAAGGTATGTGTGTGTGTATGTGTGTATAGACACACATATAGTGTGTATTTCTGTGTTACTTCTTAAATATTCTGCCTTGTATGTTTTTCAAATGACTACTTTCTTCATTCAAACTTTTGAGTAACCCATTCACGACCAAAAAGCTTTAAAACAATGAATATAGTAAAAAAATACATGAAATCAAAGTGAAGTGAAACTAAAATAAGTAAGAGTGGTGCTGTTTATTTAAAAAAGCTACAAGTTAACCATCAAGTGGTTAACCAGATTATTTGTTGAATTTGGTTTGAAATTCTGTTTATTCAGTTTTAATGTTTCATTTCATATAATACCATTCACATATATTGGAAAGATACAACATACAATTCTGAAAGGCAGAGACCCATGTTTAGAGAAGGAAGGGGGAATTTGTTCATGTGGGGGCTGGTTGATTTTTTTCCTGGTTTTGAACAAAGCTCTCAGACTGCTAACACTCAAGTATATAAATAAAATTCCCTCAATACTTTATCTTTCCTGTTTTATGTCACTGTCTGAACGCTTTTTGCACTTTATATGTGCCTGTAAACATAGACACATGCCTATATCGATCTTTTTAAATGCTGCCCTGAAGTTTGCTGCATGGTGAGGGAGAGAGCAGTGATGGACTCCATTGTTCCCCACTATGATGTCATGCTCTGACTTTGCCTTGGTTAAACAGAATTCAGTTTACTGGACTGCAGCAAAATGTCTTTAGGGAATGCAAATTTATTGCTGTAGCGGAGATGGAAAGAAATAACCAATAAAAAAAAGACGACATAGGGAAAATGGTATAAATTCTGGCTAAAATATTGGCTGCCTATATTTTTTTCTACACCTCTACAGAAGTAGATGTGCACACTCATTTATACACACACACAAACTGTGCATAGCTCTAGGGTGTGTTTACTTTAATCCTGGGAACTAGGACAAACTGAGATTCACTCTCAGGACTTGCATCGTCACTAAGATTGCTCTTAAACATGCAGTCTTACATCACGCTGTTCTTTCTTTTTACTCACATTTACCACACACAGAGTCCACAAAACAGGTCTAATCCTGCTAGCTGTCCAGTGATGTTAATGATAGCTAAAGGCATTGGGCATGTTACAAGATCCAGTGGTAAATTAATTTATTTCCACCAGCATCTGAAAACTGTATGTGGGCATAGTGAAGGGAAGAAAGGGCATAGCCTTTTAATTATGTTGGGAGATCCTGAGCTGGAAGAGAAATCTGAAGGGACTGAGTGGGGAGAAGGAGGTCTTTCCTCCTCCCTCCCTGCCTTCAAAAAAACCCAACCCTGGGGCCAGTCCTTCCCAAATAGGCACTGTTGGCAGGTATGTGTTAATCTTGTTCTCAGCACTTCGGAGGAGCCACCGACAGATGCTCACCCTGTCCTTTCAAACCAGCGCTTCCTGTCCTTCAAGAGTTAACCTTCTCTAGAACATTTATTTCACCATCTCAGGGAAGAAAAAAAAACGAAAAAAAAAAAACCCTGCAGAGCTGAGAGGCTGCAGATCACAAGGCCATTCTGATAGCCTCCTGTCCCCATGGCAACAGCAACGGCATTTATCAGTTCCTTATGAGAGCAGGCACAGCAAATCTGCATTGCACATGGCAGCCTTCCAGCCTTTCAAATGAAAGAGCACTTTGAACTGCTGCCAAGTGTGGAAGGAGCAGAGCTGTCAGGACTGCTTAATGCTGGCAGTTTGTACTTGGGAGCCTTTCAGTTCCCAGAATCCTTCAGCCGTGGCAGCCTGCCAGGTACTTAGCGGAAGCTAAAAACTAACCCCCAGACCATTCACTGCAGTGCACTCAAAATTTTCCACATGTACCATGTCACAAGTGCAGACTGTACAATGAAAGCAAACGCCTTCTGCTTGGGATTCTAATTTTATTAATAATCTAGGGAAAAGCAATTGGAGATTAGCTGGGTGACAGCACTACAGTATAGCCACTGTTTATAACTCAGTGTGTATATGTCAAATGTATATTTCATCCCTTAGAAATAGAATCAGCTTGGACAACAGGGGCTGCACAGCCCTAAATCTACATGCAGTACCTGAGTGTGGGGAGATCAGTGTTAGCAGAAGGGAGAGTGTGGTTATTTACAGTGGAGATATTTTTTAGCAATCATTACCAAATGCATAGCAGTGAGACGTGAACTAGAAAACTAAGACAGTATTGCTGGCTGGTAAATATTTTCTGTCCTTACCCTCTGCATTTTGCTGACATTGTGAGAATCTCGGAAACTGGCTGATGAATGTAGCAAAGATACATGGCTCTTGGTGGGTTTTCTTTCAATGGAGAGTCTTCATGTGAACTTTTTATTGTTTTGCATTACCCAAAGCACAAGGGCTTCTATTGGCAGAGGAAACAAATTGGCACAGTTCTGCCTTTTTTTTTTTTTTAATCTGCACTGAGATCAAGGGCAAGGGCTTCATTTTCCAGCACCAGTCATAAGCCTTTAGCACAAATAGAACGAAAATTGTCTGCCGCTCAGGCAGTTGGACAGAGTTCAGGAAAACTATGTCTGGCACTAATTCCAAAGGGAAGGTTTGGTTCAATCCAGCATCATCAATTTCAGTAAACTGTTTTCACTATTCTATATTCCACTGTTCAAGAGCTGTTTATTATCTTTTACTAAATAATGTCTTTTGGAGAACAAAGTAATGAAAAATACCTGATATTACTTGCATACATATGTATACTCTCACATGTACATATACATAGAAATAGATATGGTATACATGGATGTACTCTCATTTTTTTACTTTTCTGTTTTTCTGAACAATTTCTTCTTACCTTGCCTTCCCATTACAAAAAACATTTGTAATGCCAAATATAAAATAGTAAAAATAGCCCAGAAGGTGAAAAAGAGAGAGAAATGAAAAAAACCCTGGAGCAAAGACAATCTCCACAAATTCGCGAGTTTCTCCACAAAACAAGGAAATCTAGTGCCTCTTTTTCAGCTTGCAGCTATCTTTGGCTGCTGCTTGAAGATTTGACTTAATTCACCCAGGCAGTAGTGTCTAAAAGTAATACACCAAGACAGACAATTTTGGCACTTAGTCTCCCTTAGGAATTTTACCAACAGTCTTTGTAAAGAAAGTAAATGATCTTTTTTTCCTTTTGGTTTCTACCCATAGCTCATCTTGATTTGTGCTAATAAAAGAAACTGCTCCCCCTCTTCTATTCTCACCATTATCCTCTGTCCATATCATCCTTCTTTCAATAACAGTGTTAATCAGCATTTATAATGGAGTTTTAGAGGAAAAAGTGCTTTTGGTCTTTTCAGATGGCCTAGTTACAGAGGAAAAGGAGGTTATGCTGTGTGAAATAACTTAAGATAGTGTCAGGGCTTTTTCCTTTTTCTTTCATTCTCTTTCCTTCCTTCCTTTCTTTTTTCTTCTTTTCTTTTCTTTTCTTTTCTTTTCTTTTCTTTTCTTTTCTTTTCTTTCTTTCGTTTATCTTTTTCTTTTCTTTTCTTTCTTTCCTTACTTTCTTTCTTTTCTTTCTTTCATTTATCTTTTTCTTTTCTTTTTTCTTTTCTTTTCTTCTTTCCTTTTCTTTTCTCCCCTTTTCCCACCTCCCTCATATTTTGGAAAACACAGCAAAGTTTTGTTCAGTTCTCAAGTGTTATTAATCACTGGTGGAGGCCAAAAGCAGGGATATTTTTCTTGGCAGCACGTTTTGATAAACAATCTGTGTATGGGGTGAAGGGAGGGAGGAGCCTGTCTTGCTGGTAACTAAGCTAATGTTTGGCAGATTCTTAACTGTCACAGAAGTGCAAGTGGTTCTCAGTGGGAATAGCATTAAAAAATGTACCAATTCAGTTGATTCATTGCTGTTGATTGTTTACTACGTCCACAGGATGTAAGACAAAAACAGACCAGGGATAAAGTAAAAATAACAACAGTGGAAGACCAAGCCTCTACATATCCCAGCCTAAAACATGCTGCCCAGTTTCTAGTCCTTTGTGGAGTGAGCAGAATTAATTATAGGTGTCTTATTTTGCACTGTAAGATTTGGCAAAGGTTAATGTACAAAAATCTAGGCTCCCAGGCAGGTTTTCAAACCTCAAAGACAGCTGTAGGAAAATCAGTGTGGTGTGGGTCTCAAAGAAGACCTGCTTTGTAGGGCAGAAGCAAGAGGCTGGTGTTGCAGGGGGACAGCAGCTCCATGTTCCAGAACCAATGTGGAAATGGGACCATTAAAAGTGGAGGAAATGACAGGCAACACCCACTAAGAAGTGTGTCTGCAAAGGAAGGAAGGAAGGAAGAGAGCTCCTAGGTGGGAAAGCAATAAGCTATGTGTGTCAGCAAGGCTCACTACCTGAAAAATGGTAGGAAAAAAACCAGAATTATAATGAGATGAGAACTGAAACGATAAACAGAAACATGTAATTACACTCCTATTCTTTGCAACTGAGTGTTTTGACACTTCCTGGCAGCTCCTAGTAGAAGACAATGTTGTTTAACTTTTAATTTGACAAAATTATGCAACTTCTTCCTGAAGTGTTTGTGTTTTGATTTGCTGAACACACTCCCTTTACCACGGAGTGCTCTGTTCACTGCTAATCTCTGCATTGTTTTGCAGCCAGTCATTTGATTCTGATGGATTTTATTTTATTTGCTATTCTGAGGTAAATCCATGTAAATCACACTCTCGAGAGTGTGCTTCCCTTCTCGTTTTTCTATTTTTTTCCAGCTGTAGCCACTGTTCTGACCAGTAAGGAAAGAGCAATTTCTGTAGGTGAGTGCCTGCAGAAGAACCAACTACTGGGACTGCTGCAGTGATCAGTGCAAAACTTTGTAAAGTGAGCAGGAAAGAGTTAAACGTATTCCCAGGCTATGAGCATTTAGAGTCAGACCAGACCATTCATTCCCAAGCTGCTGAGATCATAGGTTCCTAATTATTACTGCTCGCAAATTTTGGGGCTGTCCTATATTCTGCATAATTAACACTGGACTGATGATCAATAATCCACAGTACTCCTCTCTCATCCAGATCAACAGTAACCCCCGTGTTTTGGGACCTCATGCCTGGGAATGGCACGGAGTAGAGCCTGGGGTGCAGCCAGGCACCCAGGTTTTGTCACTTTGTCCTTCTTGGTGTGTTGCACCCTCTGCTTCCCGTACCTGCTGGTGGCACTGGGAAAGGTGCTGGCTGGCTCCTGCATGCTGTGTTTTGTATGTTCATTTTGATTCCTTCATTTAAATCAAAGCTTCAACTGCTGTTTTAATATTACACAGACTTGTATGTGCATGTGCGTACTTCCAAATAAAGACGGTAGTAGGAATAAATAGAAAGGGATTATTGGATGGCAGTATTTATCCTAGGACTGCAAAGAAGAACTTAGTAGATTTAACTTCTGATGGGTAAAATTATATTCCTTCTCCCTTGGGACTACTGGCAGGTTGTAAACTTTGGGTAATCTCCACAGAATCCCTAGGGCTGCATCCACAGTGCTGACTTGCGTTCCTGCACAAAAAGCAGTGGCTGGGTAGCAATTGTTCATGGCTGCAGCTCCATGCCTCCTTGCGCTCCCCTCCATCTCATTACACAAGCTACTGTTTGGGGGGTTCTTACGCTATTTTTTGTTTGCTCGCTTCTTTCTTTCAGTTAGCCAGATTAGACACCTGAATGGCTTCATTGTTTGGGCTTCCTCTTTGCCTCCTCCAAACCTAATATTAATTCCTGGATTATTTCAGAGCTAAATAAACACCAGACGCGTTTAGTATAAATCCATCAAGAGCGATCTGGATCACTCCTGCCCTGCCACTTGCATGGCAAAGAGGAAAGGCAGAAGGTGAGCAGGAAAGCATGCTGCTACCCTTGCAGGGACAGCGCTGCCATAGATGGGAGCTTTGTTACACTGACACTGTTCAATCTATTTTTCCTTACCAGATTAGATTGATACTGACAACTCATTCCCTGTGAAGGTGCCACGACGTGGCATTTATTTGCATCTACATTGCAGTTCTCTTCATCAATCGGCTTTGCAGAGATCACTGCTGCTGCTGGCCATATTGTTGCTATGCTGACACTTCATCCTTAAGTGCTGCTTGCGTAATGGTACAGTACGTGCCCATGACCAAAGTTTAAATCAAAGTTTAATCATTACGGAAAGACAAACATATTTCCGCGACTGTGTATCCTGCAAGTAAGAGTAAAAGCAGTTTGGTCAGGTCACAGATGTTAATCTCTCCTCTTTTTCTATTCACAAACTATAAAGGGAGTTGACAGCACCTGTAAATGGTTTTCTGAGGCTAGATTATATCTAAGGTGATTATTATTTACACCCACTATAAAGACTGCTCTTGTGAGCCAAGAAGTCTGTTCCTGTGAGGTGAGTGTTACCAAAAAAGGGCTTTCTTGCAGGAGGATTCAGTGGAGCAAGGAGACAGGGTGAGGGGCGGTTCATGCTCACACGGAGTGCCTTGTCACGTCTCGGGTTTGTATAACCCAGGGACTGAAACAGTTGGGATATGCTGCAGTTCTGCATTCCCAGACACACGGGATGAAGGAAAAGCTTCGGCTCTCTCAACCTGAGTTTTTAAAGCAGGGGCTGACCTTTTCCCACAGCCCAGTTCTGCTCTTCATATGAAGATCAATACAGGACAGTAAAAGCATAGGAAACGAGTTGACCTGCCAGTATGAATCAGAGAGAACACATGCTTGTTTAATCAAGTAAAGACATATTAACATAGAAATCTTGCAGCCATTACTAAATCACTGTGGCTGGAAGCAAAGACTTTTACTTTGACCAGCTTTCACGTGCCATACTTCTGTGAAGCCTCTATAATGTCCACAGTTTAGGTGTGAAATTTCTAAGTGTGAAACCCACTGTCCTTTAGCGCATCTTCTTCAGCCAATCTGCATATAGGAGACTCACGTAATTCAAAGACTCTTCTATCTCTGTTCCCTGCTTCTACAAGATTCCCCTGAAAAAGAGTCACTTTGTCAGAACTGATTTTCTAACTGTATTTTTATTTGGTCCAACCATTTCTGTAACTTCAGCGTGTGCATTTCATTAAGCCTTCCTTGTAAACTAATTCCACTCATATACATATCAAATTCATTTGCCAGCTTTATAGATTATAACCAGACACATATAAAATGTTTTAGATAACTAAATATGGAAATGAGATGTATTGTCGATACGAACCAAAATATTTAAAGCAACATTTTTTTCTTGTGTGAGTTCTGAAACGTTATTAACCGAATAGAAAGTATCTTTCCTGCTCGGTGCTGCATGGCTGCTGGGCGTGCGTATGTAAGGGAGCCGTGGCACCGCGCCACAGAAACCGCGAGTCCCTTTAAAGCACACAGGGAAACCTGTAATGGACGGGGTTTTCGGCGTTTCTAGCAACAAAGGAATCAGGAAGAGGTACTGAAAGAAAGAAACCCATCTAACACAGCCCAGCTGGGAGAGGCTCGGCGCTCCCCCGCCCCTCCGCGGGCACCGTGCGCCGGCTGCGCGCCGGCGAAGCGGTGCCCGTGACCGCCCGCCGTGCAGCGCACCGGGTCCCGGCCGAACCGCGTCCCCGCAGTGAGAGTTTATTATTCTTTCGACGCGAGCAGCGATGCCGATGTTTGCAAAAACAGCCGCCGACTGCAGCGAGAGCAAAAGCGGGCTGTGCAGAGCCCCTCCTGGCCACCGCGGGCACCGGCGTGGCCGCGGGGCCGGGCGGGGAGCGGGCAACTTAGGGGATCGCGGGCGGGAGAAGGCAGGCTTCGGGTTTCTTTATTTTGTTTTCCTCCCAGTGAAATGAAATCTCGGCTTATTTGCATGAGTCGAAGTTGTTTGGAGCGATTTGCCTGTTAACAGCGTTATGCAAATATTAGCTAGCTATTTAAAGGGGGAAATAGAAGAAGAAGAAAAAAAAAAGCCGTGTATTCTCACAGCGCCGGGGAAATCCTATGTCCCTTTGCATTAGCGAGATGAGATCACAGCAATTACTCACCTGCTTGGCCTCTCCTACACCCTTGAGCAACGTACAGCACTAGCTTTCCCAGCCCAACCTTAAACTCTTGGCAAATATGGCTGATTTAAACAAATCAAAAGTGGAAGAGCTTCTGATGCAGTCACGGGCTTACAAAAACTGTGTCATTCTGTCACCGGGATCACTGAAAGAGAAACACGAAATCGGATATTAAGGCGGGATCCCCCCATTTGCCTCAGCAGCCGGAGCGCACGGGAATCCCACCGACAGCCGCGGTGGCAGGACGCCGCGCAGCCGCCACGGAAGCAAAGCGGGGCGATTCGCGGGTTTACAAAATCCCGAAAGCGAGGCATCTGAACTTAGAAAGCGCAGTCGGGGCGGGGGGGGTGGCGGGGGGAGGAAAAAAAAAGCCCAACAAAAAAACCACCACCACCACTCCCCATCACCACCACTGTGCATGCGCGCCCTGGCCGCGGTGCCGCGGCGGGGGGCCGGCGGCGCGGCCGGGGAGGAGGGTGAGGGCGCGATCTGGCGTTCAAGTTTCCAAACATAGCCGGCAGCGCGGGCTGCCCGCGCCCCGCCGCGCTCCAGCTGCGGCCGCGCCGGGGAGGGGAGCAGGCAGCGCGCCCCGCATGCGCACCCCGCGCAACAAGTGGGCTCGGCGCCGGCGGCGGGGGGAGGGGAGTGGGGCGCGGGCGCTCGGCGGTGACGCGGAGCCCCGCCCGAGTGCAGCCGAGCCGGGAGCGCGGCGCGGAGAGGGGAGGGGCGTCGCGGCGCGGGGGGAGCGCGGCGCGGCGGAGGGGGCGCGCAGCCACACGCGGTGGCGCGCAGCACCCCGCGCTCGGACTGCGAGCAGCGGCGAGGATGTGAGTGAGGAGCAGGCGGCGCCGCTCACCACGCTGCTGCCGCCGCCGCTGCTGCTGCCCCCGGGCTGCTACAGCTCCGGCGGCGCTCGGGGAAGCCGCCGCTGCCGGAACCGGACAGCTCCGTGCGGGTGCCTCTTTTTCGCTCGCGGCGGCGGATCGGCACGTACCGAACTGCGAGCTCACGAGGCAGCCGTGGCGGGTGGAAGGTGACCCCCCCATCTTCCTCCGTGCACCTCCGCCTCCTCCCGGAGGAGGAGCAGCAGCAAGCGGAGAGCTAGAGAGCGCAGGGAAACAGAAGCGGCTAGAAGGCGACCCCCACCCAGCCCCCCGGAGGAGCAGTGGAAGCGGTTCCCACCCCATCGGGGTAGCAGCGGCAGGACCAGGTAGAAGAAGCCGTCTCTGGCAGCAGGCGCTAATTAAAAGCAGGCGATCCCCCTGCTGAAAGGGGCAACAGGATCAGGTACGGAGAGCCACCCCTCTGCAGCCCGGGGGGGGAAGACTGAACCAGCCCCTACCCCGGCGGCAGCGACAGCAGCTCCCCGGCCAGCAGCACCATGTCCGCCGCGCAGGTGTCCTCGTCGCGGAGGCAGTCATGTTACCTGTGCGACCTGCCCCGCATGCCCTGGGCCATGATCTGGGACTTCACGGAGCCCGTTTGCCGGGGTTGCGTTAATTATGAGGGCGCCGACCGCATCGAGTTCGTGATCGAGACGGCCCGGCAGCTGAAGCGGGCGCACGGCTGCTTCCAGGACGGCCGCTCTCCGGGCCCCCCGCCGCCGGTCGGCGTCAAGGCAGTGACGCTCTCCGCCAAAGAAGCGGCGGCAGCGGCGGCGGCCCAGCAGCAGCTCAACCATGTGGATGCCACCTCCAAGGCAGCCTCGGCGGGGCTGACCCAGTCCAGCCTGGACCGCTACGGGCTCAGCGCCGCCGCGGCGGAGCAGCGCAGCCGCTTTGAGTACCCGCCGCCGCCGGGCAGCCTGGGCAGCAGCCACGGCGCCCGCCTGCCCAACGGGCTGGGGGGGCCCAATGGCTTCCCCAAGCCGCCTGAGGACGGGCCGCCGGAGCTGAACCGGCAGAGCCCCAACTCCTCCTCCTCCTCTTCCTCCTCCCGCCGCGGGGCGCACGGGGGGCTGGTGTCCGGCCTGCCCCCGGGGGCCGCCGGCGCCCAGATGAACGTGCCCCCCAACCTGCTGCCGCAGACCCTGCTGAACGGACCCGCCGCCTCCGGCGTGGCGCTGCCCCCGCCGCACGGGGGCCTAAGCGGCCGCGGCGGCGGGGGTCCCCCGACTCCCTCCGCCTCCTCACAAGGGGGCACCTGCGGCGGCGGCGCCGGGGGAGGCGGCGGCTCGTCCTCCGAGGCCTGCGGCAAGCGGCCGGGCTCGGTGTCCAGCAGCGACCAAGAACGGGAACTGAAGGAGAAGCAGCGCAACGCGGAGGCGCTGGCCGAGCTCAGCGAGAGCTTGCGGAACCGGGCCGAGGAGTGGGCCAGCAAGCCTAAGATCGTGCGGGACACGCTGCTCACTCTGGCCGGTTGCACCCCCTACGAGGTGCGCTTCAAGAAGGATCACGCCCTGCTGGGTCGCGTCTTTGCCTTCGACGCCGTCTCCAAGCCGGGCATGGACTATGAGCTGAAGCTCTTCATCGAGTACCCTAGCGGCTCCGGCACCGTCTTCTCCAGCGCCTCTGGGGTGGCCAAGCAGATGTACCAGGACTGCATGAAGGACTTCGGCCGCGGCCTGTCCTCGGGCTTCAAGTACCTGGAGTACGAGAAGAAGCACGGCTCCGGCGACTGGCGTCTGCTGGGGGACCTGCTGCCCGAGTCCGTGCGCTTCTTCAAGGAGCTGGTGGGCGCCGACATGCTGCCGCAGCCCTACCTGGACGCCAGCTGCCCAATGCTGCCCACGGCGCTGGTGAGTCTCCCGCGGCCGGGGGCCGGGACCGGCGGGGCGCAGGGCACGGCCGCCGCCTCTAGGGGACCTGGCGGCGGCGGCGGCGGCGGCGGGGCGATGCGCAAGAGGAAAGCCTCTCCCGAGCCCTCGGACTCGGCCGAGGGGGCTCTGAAGCTCAGCGACGAGCAGCAGCGGCAGCAGTGGATGGCCAGCCAGAGCGAAGCGCTCAAGCTCACCATGTCGGCCGGGGGCTTCGGGGCGGTGCACGGCGGGGGCCCCCCGCCGCCGCCGCCGCCGCCCCTCGGGCCTCACTC